TTTTATTAACGAAGAATGTTTATTCGTAATGTTTTGTTAGCATCTCGGGAGTTTTCCAAAAAATGTTTTAATTGTTAATTTATTCATTGAACATTTTTAAAGTTTTATTGAAAAAAATACAAACTTAAAAACTTTAATAAATCTAATCGCGTGCATTTTATGTTAAAGGTATAAAAATTAAAATATAAAAAATAATTTATTAATTGAAGACAAACATTTTTTAATTTATTAAAACATTTTCTAATATATGTAAATTTCCTTTTAGTGTGTCTATTCTGAGAATTTTGGATTTTTAAGAGAAGAAAAGATTGGACTCACTAGTGGAAAACAAAATAGTGAAGTGAAGAGTGGGGGGATGGGGTGGAGGAATGAATAAATAGTCTCTCTCCTCTCTCCCCATATTAAAAAAATAAAAAATGACTTGGCGCGCGACCCAAGTGTGTGGTGAATTGGACGGGAGAATGAATATATAAAAGATGTGTGATGAAGAAATAAACTATTGTATTTGGGGATTTTTGTTAGATAGAAGGCAATTTGAAGGAGAGAACGTTGATTGAGTTGTACTTTTTGTTTGTTAAAAACATTTCTTTTAAGTTTTTTTAATAAGCCTGTTTAAGGTAAAAGAAAAATACAATATTTATTTTGAGGTAGAAAAAATACAAAAGATATGTGTTTTCCGGAAAAAAGTTGAATAAAAAATTCCGGAATAGTTTAAGTTTTCAGGAAAATTTAAATAGAAAATGTTCTACAGAAATGTTTTTCCGGAAGAAGTTTTAAAGTTTTCCGGAAAATATAACAATGTTTTATTTATGTTTCTCTGATAGATGTTTATGTTTTGTTAATGTTTGTTTAAGTTTTTGTTTGGAAACGTTTTAATGTTTGTTTTGTTTGTTATAAAAAATGTTGTGTTTATGTCTGTCTTTTATGTTTGTCTGTTAAATATTTTATCTGTTTATTTAAAAAAATGCTTTTATTAAATGTTTTTGTTACGTATAAGAATTAAATAAATTAAAAGAATTTAAAAGAAACACGAATATATATTTAAATATTTTATATGACAAAATGTTTTCAGCGAGGAAATACAAAAACGCCCATCATCTTCTCAATTACTTCCGATTCGCTGACTACTACGACTACTCTTCTTTCTTCCAAGCGAATTTAATCCGTTTTATCTCCCAAGGCCTTATATATACCACTTACTAATCCCACCCAACTCAACTGTGCTCAATTTCGCTTCCGCATATGCGCACTACGTTGGATTTGTGCGGCGGACCTTTCTTTTTTTGGGCTGTGCACTTTAAATAATTAGTGTGAATTAAAAATTGATTTATATGAGACGAAAAATCTTAATTGAGAGAAAGAAAATAATTAGATTTGTTTTTTAAAAGAGCGAAAATTTAAGTTTAATCTTAAAAATGTTCGAATAAAACATTAACTAATTAGTAACTTTACGGAAGTTTATTTTTCCAGAACATATTTTGTTTTGGAAAATGTTTTTGTTTAAATAATGTTTGTTGAATGTTTTAATGTTTTTGTTTATCAGGAAAATAAGTTGTTTTGTGTTTAATCAAACAAAACATGTTCCGGAAAAACACAAACATTATAATTTAAGGACAAACAAAACGGTGAACATAAAACATTATTCCAACAAAACATGTTCCGGAAAATGTGTTTACATTCAATAATATTTTTTATCCAGAAAAATGTTTCTGGTATTTTTCCGGAACATGTTTTTGCCTAAACAAATATTTCTTTTCTTGTTCCGGAAAATGTTTGTATCAAAACTTTGTTTTAATTTTATTATGCAGCAAAATGTTTGTTTCCTTAAATTATATAAATTATACAATAATAACATAAATATTAAATATAAAATACTATTTAAATCCTAAAACACTTTAAAATTAGGGTTTGACCCCGAACGTTCGGGGGCGGGTATGTCGGGGTACGGGGTTTTCGAATTGTTTCGGGGCGGGGTTCGGGTCGGGGGAGCAAAATATGGTCGGGGTTCGGGTCGGGGTACGGGGGTTTACTAAAAAAATTTTTTAAAGAAAAAATGCTCTAAAAATAAGTAGTTTTAGTCTATTTTAGTTAATTTATTCACAAATTAATGAGAATAAGGTGGGATTAAATGGAAATAAGAGAAATTTGAGTGATTAATTAGATCTGGAGGTGATTAAGGAGGATTTGGAGGGATTAAAGCGGATATCCGGTGATATAAGAAGATTTGTAGGTACTAAGGGTAGTTTCAAGGGATATCATTGATTTGAAGGGTTATCGAGTGATAAGGGATTTGGAGGATATCAGGGTATCGCTTTCTTTTCTGCGCCGCAGGCGAAATTTTGAGAAACTTGGAAGGCCAAGAAGACAGATTTCTTACATTTCCAGCTCCGCAGGCAAAAATTTTAAAAAATTTTTAGGTCAAAAAGCCGGATGTCTTCGTTTTTTTAGCTAAAAAATCTTTACATTGTTTTTATGGTTGATAATATTTAAAAATAGATCCACATTTTAAATTAAAATTGAGCTCTTGATTTTGTAAAGAAAAATCCCTAACCAAACGAGTCCAGCTTATTTGGATCAACCCCAATCCATTATTGATAGAAATATACGCTAAAACCAACAGTTAAGCCACTCAACCACAAGTCCCTTAACAGAGCAGAAAAAGAGTTTTGATGTTTCTTTCATATTTCTTTCAAAAATAATAAGGGCAAAGTAAATTGGAAGGAAATTTTTTAAATTTTTTTCTTAAAATTCTCCCAAAAATGGCATTTTTTGGGTATGTAAAACCCCGATAACCCCGAAACTTTTCGGGTCGGGGTACGGGGTTTTCACTTTTTTTCGGGGCGGGGTTCGGGTCGGGGAGAATCGTGAAAAAATCGTTCGGGAACGGGGTCGGGGTTCGGGGTACGGGGTCGGGGTCAAACCCTATTTAAAATATTATTTGCTCAAAAAATAGAAAAACAAAAAATAATACACATAAGTGTAATAGTCGCGTCTTTTAAATAAAATTTTTTAAAACAAAAATATTTTAAGCATTTGACAATCATTTTAAAAAGAAAACAGGATTGAAAGGTAATCAAAAGTTCATTTTAGATTAAAGATTATTAAAAATATAAAATATTTTTGATTAAAATTTGATTTTTTAAACAATAAATTAAATCATTTAATCCCGGAAAATGTTTCTCTCCAAAGAAAAACATCAAAACATCAATTAAATTCCGGAAAATGTTTTGATTGAATGTTTTTTCAATAATGTTTCTGTTTATCCGGAATGTAAGTTTGTTTTATATTTTTCCGGAAAAATTTCTTTAAAAACCTCAATTAAAATTCCGGAAATGTTTTAGTTGAACGAACATTTTCTTTTTTTTGTTCCGGAAAATATTTTCCAAAATTAAATGTTTAATTTATTCTGAAATGTTTCAGTCTTTTTATTGTTGTTTTAATGTTTTCAGGTTGTTTTTAGTGTCCCAAATCCATTGGTTAATTTAAAATTACGAAACAAGCTGAAAGCTTCTCAAATTAGAATTTTTATTTATTTTTAGCATTTTTAACTATTAAAATAAAAATTGTCTAAAATATTAATTTTCTCTATTTATTTTCTAATGCAGGTAAGGGTAGGGGGGACCAATAGTTTCTCTCCCCAAAAAACCTCAATTTGGCCGGAATGATTTGTGTCATTCTTTTAACGTTCGTATCAGTCGAGAAAAGAAAAGAATATATTTCAATGAAATGTAGAGTGAGAAATAAAGAAGAAGAAAAAATAATTTAACAAAAAAAAAGTGAAGCAACAACTGTGATGGGTCTTTATATTTTTTTGAGAAGTTAAAGATTAAATAAAGAAAATAAATAAATAAATTTTTTAGTCATTATTATGTTTTTGCAATAAATTCCATAGTTCAAGATTAAATCTTAAAAAATACTACTAAAAATAAACAAAATTAATGAGAATTATAATTGTTTTTAGTTTTAGTAGATGTTTAGAAAAGAATGTTTAAGAGGGTGTTTTGAGGAATTAATTTAAAGTTTGTGTTTTTATTTGTTTTTGTGTTTATTAACAGAGAAACATTTTCCAACAGAATAAACATCTTCCGGAATTTGAATGTTGTGTTGTGTAATTGTTGAGATATTTGTTCCGGAAAAAGTTTTGATGTTTTTCAGGAAAATGTTTTTTCAGAAAAATGTTTTTTTGTTAACAAACAAAACATTAAAAACATTATGTTTTTCGAGAAAATGTTTTGTTTAGAAAAATGTTTTAGTATTTTTAAGAGGAGAATTTATTCGTGCTGCTTTATAAGCATTCCGGAAAATATGTTGAGTTTTCCGGAAAATGTTTTGATCGTTAATCTATTCCCTAAAAATGTTCGAATTCCGGAATTAAATAATAAAATGTTTTTGTTGTTTAAAAATAGAGGTTTATTTGCAGAAATTTACAGACAAACATTTACAGATTTAAACATAAAATAGTATTCAAAACATAATAAATATATGAATAATTAATAAAATATTCTTTGAACATTTAGAATTAGTAAAAATTAATTTGTAGCATTAAAAGAAAGGGATAATTAAATAATTTAATGATATGTTAAAGAAAATAATTTTTTTTAGAAAAAAATAATTTTGTGATTTTTATTAAAAATTATAATTAAAAAATATAATTAAAATTAAATATTAAAATAAAATAATTTTTTTCAAGGCAAAAAGATAAAATAAAATTTTTTATATTTTGTCATTTAAACACGTGTTATTTCCGACATTTTCCCCCAAAAGTAATAGTAAAAAAGTATTGAAAGAATAAAAATAAAACCAAGAAATAAAAATGTGTACAAGTGTGAAAATGAAGAAAAAATAAATTTTAAAGGAAAGCACCGGAAATTGTAGTCGCTTAAAATAAATTTATTTAATATTAATTGGTATTTAATATTAAATAAATTGTTTCACTTGAATGTTTTGCAAAATGAATTATTAAATTAAAACAAGTTCGAGTTTTTAATTAGGGGATGAAATGTTATGGTCCGAACATGTTTTGTTTTGTTGTTTTCTGTAAATGTTGTTTTAAGCATTCCGGAAAGTGTTCAAGTCGATAGAATGTTTATATGTTTTGTTTTGCAAGTTTTGTTGCTTTTAAATTCCGGAAGATGTTCGTAATGTTTTTTACATTTTCCGGAAAATGTGATGTTTTGTTTTCAAATTCTAGAAGATAGTTTTAATGTTTTTAAATTCCGGAAAGTGTTTAATTCAACAGAATGTTTATATGTAGGGAAGGAATGTTTTACAGAATGTTTATATGTTTTGGTCCGGAAAATGTTTCTTCCTTCAAAATGTTTTTTTCTATTTAAATTATAAACACACAGCAAAAACAAACCTAAAAATTAAAATGCTTGTAATCTCAAACAAAAAAATACTAGAATAAATGTATATTTATAATCCGTAAATTACGCGTCCATTTTATGGTCTTACAAAATAAAAATGATTTTTATAATAAAAGAATAAAAATAAAAAATGTCCAGTGAGTGCAAATATTTAATATTTACACAGAAATGAGCGCGGAAGAATGGACGATGAAAAATGAAAAAAACCTTACCTTCCCCTTAAAAATTAAGGAAGGAAAAAATGAGAGAAGAGAAAGGCGAGTAAGCAAAAACTAAAACACCCCAACTCGTTTTTGGGGTAAAAAGTAAAATAAATAAAAAGAACAACAATTGTTTTTATTGTCAAACAGAGAAATGTTTTGTTTTTTGTTTTTTAAAATCAAAAATAATAAAAATACAGAAAATTCAAGTTTACAAACATATTATACTCGTTTAAAACATTATGTTCTGACAACAACGTAAAACAAATAATATAAACAAAACATCAACAAACATTTGTATAAAACATAAAACAACGGAAAAACAAACGAGAAAAACATTCCAATAATTAACATTAAATAGCATAAACATATTCGGAAAAACATTCAACAATGTTTTGTTTTGTTAAAATTAAATGTTCGAATTATATGTTTTGTTTGAATTAGATGTTGTGTTAACATTAAATGTTTTGTTAAAACAAAAAACAAAACATTTATTAATTGACATTAAATAGTATAAACAAATCCGGAAAAACATACAACAATGTTTTTTTATTCCCAACATTTAAATGTTTCAGGAGAAATTTATGTTTTTTCCGGAAAACATTTTTAATTATAATTTTGTTTTACTTCCTCCTTAAATGTTTTAATGATTGTCTTATTATATTTTCGCGCTCTTCCTCTTTAAATTTATTTCCTAAATCCTCACAGTTAAAAAAATAATTTTTTAAAGTAATTTTAAAGTAAACTAATGAGAGAGAGGAAAGAAGATTGTGAAGCAAGTGGCAAACAAAAATTAGTAGTTAAAAAATGAAAAAGAAATAAAGCACACACACTATTTCTCTCCGGTTTTGTAGTTTATGATTACAAGAGGAAATAATAGGGAAGGGGCGGGGCAAGTAGAAAGAAAAGAGGAAAAAGAGGAGAAAAAGCAAAAAAGGAGGAAACAAAACAAATTGAAGGAAAATTAAAAATGGGGACAAGTCAATTGTGAAAAGTGCATTTTCATGCAGTAAATTTATAAGGGATTTGGTAAAAATCGTTTTTGAATAGGTGGGAAATTTTGAATTAATTTATTGACAGCATTATTTTGTTGGTGGTTTTCAGACTCTAATAGTTACTTTTAGATCTAATAAATAAGCACTCTCTAACAGACATGTTAGGCATTCTCTAATAGACAGGAATTCCTAATATAGGGGCACTCTCTATTAGACAGGCACACATAATAGAGGTACCTCCCTAATAAACAGGCACTCCTACCTCTCCAATAAATAGGCATACCCAACAAAGGTACCTCTCTAATAAACAGGCACTCCTGATATAGAGGTATATCTTTAATAGAAAGGCACCGTCAAACAATCTAAACTATAAAATACCACTAGGAAATATTCACAAGATATTTTTTACATAAACATTGTTCCTATTTTCTAAAATATTTCGTCTTTTTTTATTTTCGTCGTTTTGTTTCATCCCTAGTTATTGTCTCTTTTTGCTATATTGAATAGTTATAGACCCTTCCCCCTATTCTAACCGGTCGTTATCGGAGTCTCCTCGGTCATCGGCTGGCTGATCAATTATTGTTTGAAAGAATTATTGGGTGATATGTTATGGGTGTTATGTGTTTATATTGGCTATTGGAGTCTGAGAAAGAGGGAGGGAAAATATAAAGTCACAATTTCAACTTGTTACTCTCATTATAAAATCACCTACATACAAAGTTAACAAATTATAACGGAAAATGGGAAAGTTGAAAATTACAAAACCTTAATTGTAAAACTTGGAATTGTAAAACTCTAATGGTAAAAAAAGTTCAAAAAAGTTTCGTTTCGTATCTAACTATTGTTTTTGTATTTTTCTGTTTTGTTTTTTCTTCTTTCCAATTTTTTTTACAATTAAGTTTTACAATTTGTAATTTACAAAAACTTATTAAGTTACTTTTTGTATTGACTTTTGTTTCAAGTTTATTTTTACAATTTGTAATTTACCAACTTTATTATGTTCTCCTTATTTTCTCAATTTAATTCCTCACTCCATATTATACCCTAAATAATGACCAAAAAATCTGCAATGTCATCCCCCCATTCTTTTAATTCCTTCCCTCTACCTTCTTCCTCTTTTTCTACCAAACACAAAAATTAGTCGGGATTATCCGTGAAGCTCTCTTATTTGCCATTTGGTAGAGGTGGAAATTTCTTCTTTCTTTTTTTCACATTTCCTTTCTATTCAATTTGATTGACGACTCTTTTTAGTAAAAATAGAGGAAAGAGAGAGCAACAAAAGGATTAAATAAAGAGATAAGCAAAATTGCAAAATTTGCAGGAAAAAAATTTTTTTATAAAAAAAATAAACTTTGAAGGTTAACTAAATATAAAAATTAAATAATTAATTAAACTTGGAAAATACAATTTGTAAATTAATTACAAATTAATTAAACTTGTAAAATTACAAATTGTAAATATTAAAACTTTAATTGTAAAAAATAGAGCAAATTGTAAAAATAAACTTGGAATGAAAAGACAATACAAAACCTAAATTACAAATTGTAAAACTTGATTTAAAAAAGTTACAAACAAGTTGGAATAAGTTTGTTTTAGTAGAAACCCATAGAAACACAAACACAACGATAGAAATAAATTAGGAAAATGAAAAACACAAAAACACAAAGAAAATACGTATGAAAACAAAAATACCTAGTAGAAAAATAATTGAATAAAAATTTAAAATAAACAAAAATAAACATTAATATACTAGCTCTATATTTAATTTTAAAAATTTATAATAAAAATTAAAGCAAATATATAATAATTATATTTAATTTAAAAAAAAAACGCGCAAAAATAAGAGAGAATAGTAATTAAATAATTTTAAAGAGAGGAAAGGAGCCTTCTTTTTTGTATAGGGGGAAGTTTTATTCACACTTCTCTCTTTTTCTTCTTTTTTCCTTCTTCTTTTTATATTCCCATCAATTTTTCTTATCGAAAATCGCTAAACGAGATTAAAGAAATGGAAGGAAATTACTTACTGTTTTTGTCGGTCTTTTTTATTTATTTCCCTAACCCTGAAAAATGAAAGAAAAAGAAAATTGACTTAAAATTATTTGATTAAAAAATGATACAAATGGGTAGGGTTTTAAATATGTAAAGTTTTGATATTTATGTAAAACTTGAGAGAAGAAAATTATATAATAAATTCCTAATAAAAAATTAAACTTGTAAACCAAAAATGTTTAAAACTTAAAAAAGTTTTGTAATTATAAATTGTAAATACCATAAATCTCAATTGTGAAAAATAGAAGACTAAAACCAAAAATAAACTTGGAATATGTACATGAGAGACAATAAAAATACAAATTGTAATAAAATAAACTTGAAATAGAAAAACAAAATTACAAATTGTAAATATCACAAACATAATTGTAAAAAAGTTGGGAACAATTTGTAAAAAATAAACTTGGAATAAATAGACATACAAAACCTAATAAAGTTGTGTAAATTACAAATTGTAAAACAAGTTGAAAACAAACTTGTCCAAGTTTTAACCTTTTTTTTCTTTATTAACCTTATTGTTTATATTCCCCCCAACTTGTCCAAAGACTTAAAACATTGACAATGAAAAAAGAGTTTTTGGGGTGTTTGATTAATTGTGTGTGTTTTAAAATATTTTTTGGGGGAATTTAAAGCGAAAATGAAGGAAAAATAGATATTTATCAGTATTCTTCTGTTAAATAACTAAAAATCTATTTCTGGAAAGAAGAAAAAACTGAAGGAAGGAAGGAAAACTGTTCTTCAAAACTCTTAATTGGTTGAAAAAAAATTTTTTTGTTTGTTCTTTTTAATCTTAAAAGTAGTTTAGATTTGTCCTTTGTGTTTTGCTTTTGACTATTTTTTTAAAGGGGAAATGAACTATAAGAGAAATAATCCCCCAAAAATTATTGGGTAAGAAGAACACTATTTACTAAAAACTCTTTTTAACATATCACCCCTCCCCCTCTCCCTCTCCCTAACCTCTCTAACATATCACAACCTCCCACTAATTATACCAAGTTCCTACTTACCCCACTAAATAATTTTTCACTTATCCCATTCTACCAGTTATCCTGAAGAAAAAACTGAAGGAAGGAAGGAAATCTATCCTCCTCTCATACCCTTAAAAAGGGTATGAGAGGAGGATAGAGACTCTAAATAACATCTAAAAAATAACTGATAAAATTAAAAATAAAAAGAATAAAAAAAGTAACAGAAACTTGAGGATATTAAAAGAAAAAATATTTTTTTAAACATTTTCATGTGAAAGAAAAAATAAAATTCAAGTCGCGCACGTATATTTTACAACAATTTTTAGTAGTTTTGGTAGTAGACGAAGCGGGCGGAATGTTGAGCGCTGTATGTGAAGAGGAGGAAAGAGATCGAAAATGGAGAGGAGAATGGAAATGTTGGGGGAGTACTTTCTATTTATTTTTATTTTATTAAATATTTATTAATTTATATTTATTATTTGACCGACAGTAAATTGAGTCTAGAAAGAATAAACTTGAAAAATCAAAATAATTTACAAATTAATAAAGTTTGTAAATTACAAATTGTAAAAAATAAACTTGGAAAAGGAAGAAAGTTGGAAACTTAATTAAACTTGAAAAATTACAAATTGTAAATACTACAACTTTAATTGTGAAAAACGTTGGAAACAAATTACAAAAATAAACTTGAAATAAAGACAATACAAAACCTAATAGAGTTGTAAATAATAAATTACAAATTGTAAAAAAGTTGAAAACAATTTGTAGAAATAAACTTGAAATAGAAACATTAAAATTGTAAATTACAAATTGTAAAACTTAATTGTAAAAAAAGTTGGAAAAGTTTATTTTAGTAGAAAACCTTAGAAACACACAAATACAAAAAATACAAAAAATATAAAAACACGAACTACTAATTAAATAAAAATAGAGAACCAAAAAACAATTAAAAAATAAATTTTAATTTCGCTTAAAATTTAATTTAAAATTTAATTTTAACACATATTAAAATATTAAATATTTACTATATTTGATAGTAATGTTTAGATGAAATAGTTAAATGTTAGGGGAGAGGAAAGGATTAATTTCGCAATGACGCGATTGCACTCTTTTTTAGTTTTTTTTTGTAAAAAAATTTAAATATTTATTTATTTGTTTTTTAATGTTAAAAAATTAAAAAAAATTTTATAATTCTTTTAAAAAAGATTTTTAGGTAAAATAAGGAAAAATACAAACTGACCCCCTTTTTCTACAATTTCTCAATTTTCATTCAATTTTAGTGGAAAAAAGAAAAATAGAGAAATAAAAATTATTCGTTCAATCATCCAAAATTAGCCATCATCTTATCAAAATTTTTACGGGTAATAAAAGGGAGGGAGAGAAAATAAAATATATTTAATAATAATATTTTTTTCAATGCCAAATAAATATTAAATAATTAAATTAGTTGAACAAACAAACAAATTTTAAAAAAATAAAAATAAATTAATTAATAAATTTAAAAAGAATTTTAAAAAAATAAATAAAATTTAAAATTATAATTAATTAAATTATTAAAAAACAAATAAGTATTTATGCACCCCACATGGTACCATAAATTATAAACTTAAAGTGTTTAATAGAATTAATAAAAATGTATTTTTTCAAGTTGGAAAAGTTGTATTTTATTTAAAGTTGTATTTTAATAAAATACAAAGTTTGTATTTTATTAAATGTATTTTCTTTGTATTTTTCAAGTTGGAATTAAAGTTTATTTTTAAGTCAAATTTACAATTGTTTTACAACCTTCTTCTTAAAACTTTTTTTCTCCAACTTTTTACCAACCTTTTTTCAACCTATTTTACAATTAAAAAAAAGTTGGAAAAAAGGTTGTAAAACAATTGTAAGATCAACTTATTTTCTTATTTATTTTACAATTACAATTCTAATTAAAAGGAAATAGGTTTAAATTAAAAATAAAATTAAATTTAATAGTAAATAAAGAATTTAATTAATAAAAAAGAGATTAAAATAAAAAATAAAGGATTAAATAATGTAAAGAATTTAAATATTAATCTTTTAATAATTTTTAATTTAAATTAAATAAATAAAATTAAAAAAAATTTTTAATAAGCGCAATAATTAATTAATGTGTGTATACACAAATTAATAATTATTCCACGTAGCTAAAATAAAAAAATGCTTCATTATTTAAAGCGGGGAAATCGGGGAGAAAGGAGAAGAAAGAGGAAAAAAGTTAATGAAAAGGAAAATTAATAGTTGAAAAAAAGGAATTTTTAGGATATTCGAAACAGAAACTAAAACCCTTATAAATAAGTAGTAAAGAACGGAATATTAGAATCTCTATATAACGACACCCAATCCATGCTCTTTCCTTCCAACATCAACTCAATTCGCCCCAGAGGGGTGTTTTATTAGCCTGGTTTCATTCCAGATTTTATGGCAATTTCTTTCTAACGTTATCAAAATACAGCCGGGGGGGGGGTGTCGTTATATCTAGATTCCTCTGTAATTGTCCATTAAGATCAAGCAGTAAATAAAATAATATTAAAAAATTAAAAAAATAATTTTCTAGCAATAAAAATTTTTTAAAAATTTTTTTAGTTCCAAAATGAAAAAATTGTTAAATAAAAAATAAACAACACAAAAACAGTAAATAATAAATAAAAATAATATAAAAGAGGTAAAGGAAAAAATAAATAAAAAGCACTTGCCAGGCCATTAGTTTTAAAAAAAGGGGAAGCAACAAACACAAAAGACAAACAAAAAAATTTTAAAAGAAAAAAGGGCAAGAAATATATGTGTGTCATTACGTGCGTGTTCGTGTGTTTCTGTGTCAGCTTATATTAAAAAGGAGAAAAAATAGAAATACCGGTTAAATATTAATAGACAGAAATTTGTTTGGATTAAAATAGAAAAGTAGAAGAAACATTTTTATTTGTTTTGACGTGTTTGGATGTTTTAAAAACAAGAAAAACAATGTTTAAAAGAAACAATGTTTTTGTATTTGTTACAAAGAATTTTTAAATGTTTTTAGTTTAAATGTTCATGTTGGAATTATTTGTATAATGTTTATGAAGATTCGAACATTGTTCATTGTTTTTAGTGTTTTAATTAGTCTAAGGTTAGATGTCTTCCGGTTAGATTTTAAGTTTTCCGGTTGCATTTTTAAAGTCTTCCTTTTAAGTTTTCCGGTTAACTATAGTATTAAAGTTTTCCGGCTATATTTTTTCCGGACAGCTTTTACATAGTTACAATTTAAGTTTTCCGGGTATATTGATGTTTTTGAGTATTTTCCGGTTTTATATTATAATTATTTGTTTTAAGGAGTGTTTATGTTTTAGTGTTGGCATCGTTTTTTTATTTTTAATGTTAACATGTTTTTATGATTTAAAATGTTTAACAAACATTTAGAATAAATTTATAAAAAAATTATTGCCATTATCTTAAAATACATAAATAGCGACAAGAAATAACCAAGCTCCTCCGGTTGGTTACTCGCAGCAAAAGTGAAAGAAATAAAGCAAAGGAGAGGAAACCCTGTGAGGCTCGTCGTCTATTACTTTTGCATCGGGCCAAAAATTGAGCGTTTTGGGGAGGCAATGAGAAAATGTATGAGAAAAGGGAATAAGTAACGAATTGACGAAATATATTTTTATTTGAGAGGGGGAACAACACTAACAATTATTTAAATAAGTAGAAAATTATGAGTAAAAAATAATTAAAATAGATAAGGGACTAGTTTGTAAATTAATTAAAATGAAGAAAAATTAAAATATAATTTAATTATAGTATGTAGGGTATTGGTGTTTAAAAAACTTGGTAAATATGATTTATTAAACAAATAAAATTTAATAAATTTAATTTAGATTTAGTCAAAGTTTATAATTAAATTTATAAAACAGTTATTTATGCAACAAGTTTTGTTAAATATAAACTTATTTTAAATATGTTTGTGAACAATGTTTGTGAACATATTTTAATTTTAAATGTTGTTTTAACATAAAGTGTTTGGGGTTTTTAATGTTCGTAAATAAACTTGTTTTAAAACCTGATTGTTTAAAACAAATAATTGTTTATAATAATAGTATGTTTGGGGTTTGTAATGTTTTGTGGGGGAGATGTTGAGTTGTTTGTAAACTTGTTTTAAATGTTTTAGATGTGTTTAAACATGTTTTTAGTTGTTTTAATTAAAGAATGTTTAGGTTTTGTAATGTTTTTATGTGGAAATGTTTAAATGTTTTTTTTTCAAATGTTTTCATGTTGGAATTATTTTTGCTTAAATTATTTTGCTAAAAACATTGTTTTTATTTGTTTATTGTTGGTCTCAACAAAAACATTTAATTTTATTAAAAACACATTAATTATTATGAGTAAAAAATTTAAATTGTTTCTAATAAAAGGAAAAAACAATAAAAATAGACTCTTGTGTTTATGACGAGGAAAATCTAAATAATTTTTTAATAAAAAAAAAGATTTTTATCTAAAAGAAAAAAAGAAATAAAATGTTTGTTTGTTTCAAGTGTTTGCGCAATTAATTTTGTATATAGAAAAGTTTAGCAGTGGGAATAAATAGACAAAATGTTAAGTAGACACGAATTTATAATTAAAAGTAAAATATTGTTAGACAGAAAAGGCAGGTGTGTATAAAATAATTTTGCTATAAATAGACAAAAAAAAGAATTATTTAGCATTTTTGCTTATTAAATAATTATGATTAAATAAGTTTAGTAATGTCTTAAAAACAATTTAGGTCTGAACAAGCATTAAAACATAAACAAGGCTATTTTTAAGTGTTTAATTAAATGTTTGTTTGAACTGTATATTTTAAAGTAAACATGTTTTTATGTTTTTAATCGTTTTAAACAAAGAATGTTTAGGGTTTTTTAATGTTTTGTGGAGGATGTTCAAACAAACATATGTTTTTATATTTTGTGGAGGAATTAACATGTTTTTGTTTGTATGTTTGCATAAAACATAAACAAGCACTAAAACATAAGTTTGTAATAAGCAAAAATGTTTGAAGCTGAAACAAACATTTAAAAAACAAGTTTATTTAAAAATGTTTTTAATTAAATGTTTTGTTTGTCTGAAATTTATATGAAGTTGGATGAAAATGTTTTTGTTTGTTTTTGTATATTTATTTGTTATGTTTGTTACTTGTTAACTTTTTGTTTCCAACATGTAAGAGAACCTATGTTTTTAAATAAATAGATGTTTGTTATTTAATTTTTATGAAAGTTTATTCTGAACAAATGTTTGATGTTTTTAATTTTAATTTGTTCAAAACATTTTAAAAATAAAAAGAACAAAAAATATTCACAAATAATTGTTTTTGTTAGTAGAATAAAATATAAGAATTTATTAAAGTGCTACTAAAAGCGGCTTTTCTTTTACAGCAAAGAAGAAACGAAAAGGGCAAAAAGAGAAGAACAAGGAAGGAAAAGTAAGGTATGTGTTTAGCGTTTTTGGCGTTTTTTGGATTTTTTTTTGGAAAAAAATTTTTTTTAAATTAAAAAAAAATATTTGAAAAATTTTAAAATTATTAAAAAAAATTTCCTATCCTTGTCAAAAAAAATTTTTTTAATTAGCCTTTGGCTGTTTAAAACATTTTTACATTGTGGAAAATAGTGTGTTTGTTTCATAAAAGATTGGCACTATAAAAAGCATTTGGCTAACCGGCAGAATAAATAAATGATGAATATAGAGAGAGGGAAAAGAGAAGAAAAATAAAGAAAAAAAAATAAAAGAAATAGAGGGAAATAAAAAGCTTTAATAAATAAAAATGTTTGGGGAGAGGGGGGGGGGAATTAAGTATAAATATCTTCTTTAAAATATTTAAAAACAAGGAAATTGGAAGTAAAAAAAAGAGGAAGAAAATTAGAAATTTAAAAATTAAAAAAATTTTTATTAAAGAAGTCTTTTTCGATGGTCGCCAAGCCTGCGCGCGTCGACTTCCGGCCTTCGATTTTTTCCTTAATTATTCCCTAACAGATTTACTGAACGAATATTAGTCTTGACTATCTCCTCTATAAATTTCAGAATTTTTGAGTAATTATTTAAAAAGTTGTGGACATAAAACGACAAAAAACATCAGAAAAGAGTATTTTTAATATGCAAAAAGATGTTCAAAATTTCTGAAATTTTTAGAAATCCGATTTTCGACTTCCGAAAACTTTTGACATTCCAATCCACCACTGCCAATCATTAACTAACAATATTAGGGACATTTATGCTTAATTTGGGGATTTCAACTAGAATACACTTCGCCACATAATTATATGAACACCCCTAAATTTCAACTTTTTACCGTATTTGGCAGACAAATACCCATTTTTAACCTTAATATATTTTGGAAATCGGCTAAAATCGCCTTAGAAAAAAGAATCTGAAAATGGTTTTAGGGTAAATTTTTCTTTAGATGCTCGTGCCAAACACGATCCTACTACCTCCAAACGCCAATTTCTATTCAACTTTTAAAATTTAAAATTAAAAAATAATAAGAATATAAAATTTATAAGAAAAATATTTAAAGAAAAAAGAAAGAAGAGTAAATCAATTCACTTATTAATTTTTTTCCTCCCCCCATATGACAGTCTTCTCCTCCCCCACATATTATCCCTCCCTCCCTCGTGTATTAATTTTAACAAAGGACTGAATTTGAAAATTGGAATTTTTAAATTTAAATAAATAAATAGTTAATATAAATTGGGTTGTTTAGAAGGTATTTATGAGGGTATAATAGTAGATATAAAACAAAGTTGGAATAGTTGTGTTTTTGTAGTTTTTAGGTGTTTTAAAGTTGGAAATATTCAATCTTGTGTTTTATTTATAAAATAAAAGGATTGTGTTTTTCTCCAATTTGGAAAATTAATTCAAGTTGGAATTAAAGTTTTATTGTGTTTTCTTAAAGAATTCAAGTTGGAAATATTGTGTTTTTAATTATAGGAATTGTATTTCTCCAAGTTGGAATTAAAGTTGGAATTAAAGTTGGAATTAATTCAAGTTGGAAAAAGTTTTAAAACAATTCAAGTTGGAATTAATGCTCTTTTTGTTTTTAAAACAATTAAAAATGTGTATTTTTCAAACTTGGAAAGGTTGTGTTTTCCGTAAAGTTTTAATTTAAAGTTTGTGTTTTTCCAAGTTGGAATTTGTGCTTTTTTTTGTATTTATGTTTAAAGGGGAATATTTATTCTAAATTTGTATTTTCTTCAATAAATATATTTTTGTGTTTTATTTAAATTAAATTTAATTTAAAAATAGAACATTGAACAAATAATGAAATTTAAAAAGGTTGCAAAGAGAAAATGAGGGAGGAAAGGAGAAAAGGTTTCTTCTCCCCCCATAAAAAGCATTTTCTTCTCTATGCGGCTCTCTTTGGGGAATTTTAGAGCGCTAAAATTGGTAAAAGCGAGTCGATAGAAGGAAAAAAATAATTTTTTTTATTTATTTAAAAATGCAAAAAAAATTTTTTTAAATAGTTTTTAAGTTAAAATACAGTTAAATATTTAAGTATAAGATACCCCCCTTCAACTAGAAAAATTATGCCTTATAATGAGGTGTATATTAAATTGGAGGGTATCGCTTGAGAAACTCCCTCCACACTCAGTGGTCAATTAAATTTTAGGAGGTATACTAAATAGAGGTCTATCTAATATTGGGGGTACCTTATATAGAGGTCCGAAATAGTCTTATAATGAGGTGTATATTAAATAGAAGGTATCTCTTAGTAAAGATCATCCACCTAATGGCCAATCATTAGTAATTGCTATCCAAAATATATTAAAGAGAGGGTACCTAGTATTGGGGGTATTATAAATAGAGGTACGGCTAAATAATTTGGTATTGACCCAATTTAACTATTTTTCACCTCTGACCGTTTTGTAAAATATGTAAATATTTCTGTTAAAAACAAGTAGATATTAAACAGGAGGGGTGTCTAGTTTTGGAGGTAACTTAAATAGAGGTCTCTGACTATTAACTCAAAAATAAATATTTTTTGAACCAACCAAGTCTTTTACTGGGCATACAAAGGGATTAAAAGACGGATTAGTCAAGGAGATTAAATTGAAGATCTTCGATAATTTAAGTGTTGTTGCTTTATTAGTAGTAAAGAAAAATATAAAAAGAAGGCCTATAAATGCAAAATTAATTTTTAAAAAAAGATGACATTTGGACCCAATTTTGAAATTATGGTTATTTAAAATAGTAGTGATGTCACAAATATGGGTAATAAGATGGTTAAATAATTTTAGAAATTATTTTGGAAATATTTTCTGTTGATTTTCCCTAGAAAATCACAATTTTTCACCTAATTTTTTCATTTAAAAACAGAATGCCAAAAAATAAAAATTTTAAATTTTAATTTCATTTTCGTCTAAAAAGGTCAAAAATAATTTTAAAAATTTATTTAAAAATTAAATTATAAATTCCCTTATTTAGGAAAAGGAAGGAAAAAATAAAAATAATAAAAGTTAATTAAAAATGGGTGAAAAGGGAAACGTAAATAAAGAAGTTAAGTGTGAACGGAAGTTAAAAGTAAAATAAAAAGGGAAAAAAGGAGAGAGTAAAAAAGACAAATAAATAATAAAAATTAATTTATTTTTAAGGTAAAAATATCTGAAAATTAATTTTTTTTTATTTTTAAAATTTTGTCCGCAAATTTTTTGCGGACAAAATA